ACTCTTGGACACTTGGAGATCCAGCAAATGCCGCTCCTTAAATATGACTCGAACCCTTCTGCCGCCATGCCTTCCTTCCTGCTCTTCCATCTGCTTGGCATGCTCTTCCTTCGTCTCAGCCTGTCTAAATCCTACCCATCTCACAACACTCAGGACAAAGGCCTCCTCCCCTATGAAGTTTTGCCCAAGCTAGAATGACCGTCACCCTCCTAAGTGTTGTCACAGGGCATTCTGCTTCCATTAGGCTCAGACTGCAAGTATTTCTGTGCTCCCTACTAGAGTGCGAGCTTCTGCAGGGCTGGGCTATGCTTGTTTGCTCACTGCGTCTCATATTAGTGCCTGCCATATCAGCAACATGCAATGAGTGTTGGTAGAACCAAATTGCAGAGTACAGCTGGGGCCCCATGGAAATTGGATGTGAATGAGAACAGCTCACAGAATGACCTGCTGTGCCTACCAGAATTTGAAAAGTTGGGGTGACCATTGACACCATTCTGGGAGCAAGTATTTGGGTTCCACTTAAATATACAAATGTAGGCCCAGGACTTCCACTAAAGTGAAGCCCCTTCTGGGCTTGTGTTTGAGGAGCTGTATAGGGTGATAGAGTGGCACTGGTAAGGACTGCTGTCCTCTCTACCTTATTATTATTATTTTTTTAAGATTCAAGATCTGAGTTGCCATAAAAATAAAAATCTTGGTTGGGGGGTAGTGGAGGGATTTGAAAAAAACCTGTAAATTATCAAGAAAAATAATTCATTTTTCAGATGAAGACCCTGAGTCCCAGAAAAGCAAGAGTGGTATGCCCAAGGTCACACAGCCAGGGTGAAGGGTGGGACTTAGCCTGTCCCAATCCCAGTCTACTATTTTCTGTTCCACCACCATAGCTGCCCGCGGTGAAGACGCCATCAGTCAACCTAATTTGGGGAAATAAAAGATCTTGAAGGTTACACATAGATTTGTGCACTGCTGATCTTAATTTTATGCTTGCCATCATAAAATTAATTTATGCTCATACAACTAAAGGGGGAAGACATGCATCCAATTCTCAAAGTTTCAATTCTATGTCTTTGTATCAGTTATTTAGATTTTTCCCTTCTTTGTTCATTATCACTTTCCCTGAGGAGGTAACAAAATGTCTTTTTCAATTTTCTTCTGAACTAATTCTTACTAGGATCACCCATTTTTTTCTCCAGTTTGCAACTGGCTAGATTTGATTGGAATAGATAAAGCCTCCGACCATGGGCTGTTGAAAGGCCTTTTGTTTGTGGATTACAAGCGGTCATTCAGTTTATCCCATTCATTATGCTTCCCTACTTTTTTGAGTTGCAAGGTTAAGGCCTGGGGCAAAATGTTGATGGAAAGGAACATTAGGCACCAAGTTGCACCGTGTTTGTGTTCCTTCCAATCCACATTCACCTCCCTTAATTGGTGAAGGTTATGACTACAGCCCACTTCTCTAGTGACTCACTTCAGGAAAAGGACATGTGACAAGAACCTGGCTCACATGGGACTGCTTGCCAGGGGTGCCAGGACAGAGATGGCATTGTTCAAGGAAGATTCAGGAAGTCAAACATCCGGAGAAAAGCATGCATGGTTAACTCACCCCACGGTCTGGATGAGAACATATTTTTTTTCTCACTGATCAATCTGTTTATCTACTTCTACAAGGGCACTCAGAGGACTTCTGGAATAATTATTCCCTTTGGTCTCAAATGCACTTTCCTAATGGGCCAAGAAAGGGAGAAGGAATAAGTATTCCTGGAAGTGTTTTACCTGTGGTCACATTAATTCTATCCTCCCAATAGCCTTTTGAGATAAACATTATCCACGCTCTCAATTTATAAATGGGGCAATTTAGATAGGGCAAGTGAAGGAGTTTGCCCAGGCCTACCTGCTACTAAGTGGCAGACCCAGGATTCACACTTGGGTCGAGGTTGAATTGAAGTGTATTTCCAATGTCAGAAAATATCCTCTTTCCATGCTAGTGCCCAGGTTTCCTCTCAAAAAAGTAGCAGCTACTAAATGCTGCTGCAAAGCATTGTCTCTCCCAAACACATCTTTGTTCTGACCTCTTTCTCTCCATCTAGCTGTCCTCAAAACCCACACAAATTCCAACTTCTCCTTAAAGACTTCCTCATCAGCCAGTCCCAACAGACTATGTACGGTCGCACACACGCTCTCTCTCTTCTACCTCTGTAATCCTCTCTGCTTGCACTCCTGGTTTAGCCCTTAATAGATACAACTTAGCGCATATAAACTTTCACTTGCATATGCAAACTCCCAGCTGTACTATAAACTCCTCAAGGACATGAACAATGCCTCTGTTGAGCCCTGAGAATTTGTAGCATAACAAATAATACCAAGTAGCTGCTGCAAAATGTGTGTTGAATGATTAACTGGTTAATTTTTAGGAGAGGCTATGGGAGTCCTCGTGATTCTGTTAAGCAGACAAGCATGGAAAACTCAGAGGCAAGTAGTCTCTTTGGCTAAGACTCCCCTTAGCACCACAGTCTGTAATTCACTCCCCATATCTTTCTGGGTGTTTTAGAGAAGACGGACATTGCTCTGCACTGAAACCATGCGTTAAGCTCTCTGCCGGTTTTAGGGCAGACTAAAGCACTCCACCCAAAGCTCAGAAGGTTCAGGTGAGTTCAGAAAGCTCCAGCCTTTCTGGCAGCCTAGTACGTTCCCTTAGTCTTTTCCAAGTCTGGGCACTCACTCCCAACTCTTCGCCAGTGTCCCCCTCTTAGCCTCACCCCAGGCCTTAGTGATGACAGCACCAGGCAGCAACTGGGATCGCCCCTGGAGGCAAATATGCCTGCACAAAGCCCAGATCTTATGCTCTTCCCTCCTGGGATTCTGCTTATTTTCTTTCCCCTTCACTTATTGCCCCTTCTTCTATGTGGTCTGTTAATCTCCAGATCTTTGACAAGGATGACCATGATGTCAGAGCACGGGCCCTCACATGGCCTGTCTGCATCTCTCTCCTCCCCTCCTCCCCACAAGCTTCCTGGGTCATGTGGGGCTTCCTCAGCACCCCCTCTCCATGCAGCTCCTCCTCCCTGAGTCTGCCTCCTGCCTTTCCTTCCAGCCCCATCCAGGGTGTGGAGAGAGCTCTTGACCACAGGTAGAAGTGCCCTTCCCCACACCTGATGAGCTCTGTCTGCACTTGGAGACCAGCTTGTGCCCTGTGGATCTGAGCCTGGGCCTGCCTATCCCCCAACCTGGCCATGAGGGCCCTGAAGCCACCATCATGTCTTACCTTTATTTCTGATGCCTAGATCTGTGACTGTCACAGAGTAAGTGGTCAATGAATATCAACAGAAGGTGGAAATAAATGGTAAATGAGTAAACGGTCTTGGTTCTGCTCTATGAAAACACCCAACACATCAACTCACTCTGACATTAACCGTTTAGACACTTAAAGCAGGCCTCTGAACTAGACAGATTTGGAAGCATCACATAGATTACCAACCACCTCATCTACAAGATGAGGACCAAGACAGGTAGGTGGCTTGCACAAGGTCATACAGAGCATGAGTGGCAGACTCAGACTGGATCAGACTCTCCGATTCCCTGCTGAAGGCACCATCTCAGCCATGCTTTCAGAGTAAGAAAGCTTTGCTTCTAAAATACCTAGTAATTCAGACTTTTCTCCCAATTATTTCTAATTAGTAACCTACCTAGCACTGATGAGTTCTTGAATGTATGCATGCATGCATGTATAAGTGAATGAATGAATGAAGGCGAGGTCATGCTGGATTCACAGCAGCAGCAGTGCAGCTTTTCCAGTAAAAGCACTAGGCACGTGTGCAGGATTGAGATGATGCATTTAAGGCATCTCCTTTCTGCCTCACAACCCTGACACTGTGCATCCCCGGATTCTGCCATCGCCCCTACTCTGCAGACTGACAAAGAGGCTGTTCTGGGCTGTCCTTGCCAGCACCATTCTTGTTGAACCTATTAGGTTGCTATTGTTTTTAGCAAACAGCTGATGCCTCATGGAAAATTTAGCATTTGCTCATTCCTGTTCCATTTATCTTCTAGTTTGTGCATTTTCTCTTCTTTATTAGCAGGGCACTTACTGGAAAACTAGATCTCTGTCACTTAGTGGTTTCATATGTTTCTTCTGTTCATAACCTACCTGGAGTCAGAATTATGTCTGTGTCACAGAGCAATTGGTTGCTATGGAAATGATCGTGGCACCCCAGGCAGCAGGCCTGCGTTGGAGAGAAGAGGGAGTGCTGTGCCCATGGGGGTGGGGGTGGGTATGGCGGAGGTACTGCAGGAATCCTGAGTGTGACTTTTTAAGCTAGGACTGACTTGTCTAGGCCAACCTGGTCCTCTTGACCCTCTTCCTACTCAAAGCTGTGTGTGTGTGTGTGTGTGTGTGTGTGTGTGACACTTCACTTATCCACACCCCCCACACACCGCACCCAAATATAAAACAAATGCTTCCCCTAACTTCTCTCTTCTACCTCCAAGTCCAACTTAGAGTTCACCTCCTCAATCTTCTGTGGTTAACCACCCCTGAATAACCCCTTCTCCAATCAAACCTCCCACCCATTCCTACTGAGTTTGCACTTAATTCAGTTGCATTGGAATCACTTGCATTCCTTCTGCCGGACTTTGCTTTTTTTTTCTTATCAGGCTCATATGCTTTATCTTCCCAACAGTACCCAGGCCCCACAGGAGCCCATCTGGGTCAGCTGGTTTTATCTTCCCACAGAGCTCAAGCCGAGCTTGGCTGACCACAGGCCCCTGATAAATGCTGCCCTCGACTCTCAGAGAGATGGACAGTCTCAGACCTCGAGCCCGCCCACTTTAACCCATCCAGTCTTACCTCCTGAGGATCAGTAAGCCTAGAGCAATAGGCAAATGAGACAGCTCTGGATATCATTGTAAATCTTGTCAACCCAATGAAAGGAGAAAAACTCTAAAGCTTCATTTGCCTCAAACGTCCTCAGATGATAAGGGAAGAATGAGAAAACCGTGTTTAGTTATTTAAAACTGTCTTATTTTTGTGGGCTTTAACTCATTTATGTTTCAAGTTTGCCTTTAGTCTTGGTTGCCTGTCACCTAGAGCAACTTTGACCTCCAGGGCCAGTGACCCCCTTCTGGGTTTCCACTGAAGGGCCCTGCAGGACTGTCCAGGTCAACGGCAGCTGTACATGGTGGGAGAACCTGGGCCTTTTCCAAAGGTTAAGCTCACAAACATAAGTTGTGGAGTCGAGGCCTTCCCTTTGTCTAACGGGCAATATCCTTACATCCGGGGCCGGGGATGCAGAGCCCGTGAGCTTCCCCTGCTGTCTGTGGTTGAAGACAAATAGCTATGCTGGCTCCATTGGCAGAGTTGGTGTTGGTGTTGGTGCCCCAACCTCCTTTTTCTGGAATCTGCCCCATATTCAGTCCCCAGATGGAAGTAAGCTGACACTCAGGTAAGAAGGTGGGGGAAGTCAGGGTGCCTCGAGCGTGGGGTGGACACTGGGGCTGGACGCCATGTTCCACATCCCAGAGCCCATCTGAAAGACCTTCCTTGGCGTGCAGCTCAGAGCTGCTCAGAGAGCGTGGAGCTCGGCCCCCAGCTCAGCCCAGGGGCTCTCTGTGCACTCACGGAAAGTGGCATCGTACCGGGAAACGCGAGCGGCCATTCTGGCGCGGGGACGGGGCCCGGGCATCTGTGTGTGCTCCAGATGAGAGACTGGGACGGGGTGCGGAGGGCTTGCTTCTTTCCCACCCTCAGGGCTCTTTCAGTGAGGTGGTCCTTCTGAGGCCTGAGATGGTGCTGGGGGTGGCCTCAGCAGGAAAAGGCGCAAGGCAAACAGTGAACAGACAGGTTGGAGCCCCCAGGAGGAGCTGACTTTGGTCTGCGGTGACTGGGAGAAGGGCCCCTGCTGGGGACAGCTGATAAAGGAGCTGCCACCCCCTCCCCCAGTACCCCCTACCCCCGCCTCCCGCCCCAGGGCCCCACTGGAAGACAGGCTTGATTTTCGTCATCCCGCACAGCACCAGCTTGGTGAAGTTAGCAGGAACCCTCTCATGCCGAATCCCCGCTTCTGCTTCGGACTAAACCCTCCAGCCCAGGCTTCAGGACAGGCCTCTGTCGCCACACAATGGGGACTTGGATAGTGAGTTTTAGGATTCTTTCTAGCTTTCTACCCTGACTAGAAAACAGAAGAGGAAATGCCCTGTTGGCTCTCCCGTGGACCAGAAGACCTTCCCCCAGCTGCTCATTTTTAGTTGGCAATTACCCAAGGTGTCCAAGGCCCCTCCAACACTGTCACTCACTGCCAGGAGAGGCCAGAACTCCAACTCAGGCTGTGCGGCTGGCTGCAAGAGGGTGATGTCTGAGTTAGCTGTTTGGAGACAGAACCACAGGTCAGCTTTAGAGCGGATGCGCCTTCACCGGCACAATGGGAAGCCAAGACAGGCAGGTACCAAGTGATCCTTCAGCATCTGGGCGAGATGCTTTGTCTTTCCCAGAGAAACTATTTCAACGAGTTCTTCCCGGGAGAGAGGGAAAACAAAGCTCAAATACCAGAGCCGCAGAAACCGCCTGAGGCTGATTTGCTCTGACAGGCCGGCGGCTGCCCTCTCCCACGGACAGCCTTGGTCCAAAAGAATAAAGTAGACCTTGCAGACCAGAACTCAAAAGTGCAAGGTGCAGGTTTGCAAAGTGTGTCCCCCAGGCTCTGTGCATCCCCAATCCAGGAGTTGAACCCCCATCCACATGATGCCTTCACAGCACATGAAGAAAAAGAGGGGCAGATTGCAGAGGAGCAGGACAGGCGGACGTGTTGCCAAGAGCAGGCAAAGGTCTGAGCTGACCGCAGCTCTGAATTGGGTCTGGCTGGAGTTGGAGGTAACTGCATTATGGGAAAGATTGAAAGGTTAATATGAAACCAGCTGATACTGAAAGAGAACAATTAGGAAGGTTAAGGGGCTTAATATTAGATTAATGGCTGCCGGAGGATAAAGTTCACAACTTCCAGGAAAGAAGTCGGATTCGGAGAATTCTTTTGAGTGGACCAGACCAAGGTCTGATTTTGTTATTTTTTTTTTCTTCCCAGTAACTGAGAGAAAATTACCATTCATTCACATAAGATTCATTCTCTTCCTCTTCCTGCTTCCTCCTCCTGCTTCCCATCTCTCTCCTGTTTGGAAATGCCTGATTTCATTCCAGTTCTGGAATGAATCTTAGGGTCCCACCTTCCAGCCTGCATACCCCATACTCCTCTCCACCTGTAGGGGTCCTTCCTCAGTGAGATTTGTGGGACCCTACAAGAATATTTTTGTCAGTGTTGCTTGTATTCTGGAACTATTTCAGGCCACTAAGCGATCTCACAGATCAGTAGTTCAACCCAGGGGAGACATTCCGAGCCAACAAGGAGTTAACCCAAACATGGGGAGACGGGCTGGTGGATTTGAGGTGGCTGAGGAGATTGGGGGAGATGGGGAATTCCCATGGTCTCCAAACCTAGCAATTCCTTCCTGGGAGTTTTTTAACATTCCTTCCTGGGGGAAGGGCCTCTGTTGGGGACAGCTGATAAAGGAGCTGCCACCCTCTCCTCCAGCACCCCCCCCCACCTCAGGATCCCACTGGAAGACAGGCTTGGTTTCCACATCCCGCCCAGCATGGGCTTGGTGAGGCTGGCAGAAGCTCTCGTGCAGTCTCTGTGCTTCTGTCAGGACTGAACCCTCCAGCCCAGGCTTCAGGCCAGGCCTTTGTCTGAACAGATTCCCAGGCCCCACCCATCCTGGACTAACTGAATTTGAATCTTTGAGGGCACAATCTGGACATCTGCATATTCTGAAGTTCCTCGATGACCCCATGACCTGCTCAGTTTGGGAACCACTGGCTCAGGGACCACATGGAAGAAAGGCCGGGCAGGGAGGGGCCAGGGGCCTCTCAGACTTTGGGATGGGCCATTCGTGTGATTCGCTAGTTCCCATCCCAGCCGGTGAGTTTCTTGGAGCAGACATTTCCTCTTACTCGTCATTACAATCCCCACACAGGGCTGGCCACATTCAGTACGTGGGAGCTGAATTAAGTTTCCAAATCTCATGGCTCATGTCTGTAATCCCAATATTTTGGGAGGTCCAGGCGGGAGGATCACCTGAACCCAGGAGTTTGAGACCAGCCTGGGCAACATGGGAAGACTCTGTCTCTACAAAAATTTAAACATTTAAAATATTTTTTAATTAAAATCTTGAAATCTCTCCCCTTCCTAGACCCTAAACCTGTTCAGTTCTCAAGTTGCCATGTTCAGAGGCCTGGCTGGTAGAGCCCGGGCCTGGTTCCACAAAATCAGCATGGTCCTGAAACACAAGAGCACAGGAGCCAAAGCTGGAAGGGCCCTTGGAGAACCTCTAGTCCAATGGCTTTCAAAATGTAATCCTAGGTACCCTGGGGTCCCATGGTGGAACCTCAGAGAGCACGAAAGGAAAGGGCAGAGGCCCAGTGGGAGGAACTGCCAGCCCTCCCCCCACCTTCACCCTTCCTTCAACCAGGCCAGCCCTGCTTTCACAGCTTTGTGTAACTTTCGCAACAACCAAATACCTTCCCAGTTTCTGCCCTTGTCAACCCCACCCCCAGCCCCTGTCTGTTTTCCAGCTGGTGTCCAGAATGATCATTTCAAAACATAAGGCTGATCATGGCCCTCTTCTGTTCAAGACCCTGCATTTGGCTTTCCATTTCACTCAACACCAATCCAAGGTCCTCTTCACGGCCGGCAAGTCTCACCTGTTCTCGCCCCGGTTGCCCCTGCCTCATCTTAGCCATGCTGGCCTCCTTTGTATCCCTGAATGCACCAAGCAGGTTCTTATCCAGCACCTGGGCAGGTCTTCTTCCTTCTGCCGGAAACGCTCTTCCCCAAATAGCTGCATCCCTTGCTTCCTCTTGTCCTGACCACCCTATCAAAAAAGGCATTCTGTTCTATCAGCCCAGCCCCTTCCTCTACTGTCCTGACTGTCCCTACTGAAATGTAGGCTCCACAGGGGTGAGGACTTTGTTTGTTTTCACTGCTGTGTCCCCGGCACCACGAACAGTGGCTGGCACATAGTAGGTGCTCAATAAATAATCATTTCCTGAATCAATCAGATTGGTTTTGATTCTAAAATTATCCTATACATTTTCTTCTTTACACATTTCTCTATTTTTCAAATTTTCTGCAGTAAATATGCGTGTTTTTACAATCACAAAAAGAAGTAAGTGACATAGTTTTTTCTCTAGGATCAATCTTTAGGAGACTCAGAGCTGCTACAGAATAACTTAAGAAGATGAAAGGAGGCCCTGCTTTGAGCCCCTGGTTCTGAGCAGCACCAGGTCAGTCCTGGTAGACTATAATAATACCACTGATTCCTAATGGTGGACGGGGGAACTTAGTGGGGCTAAGCAGATCCTACTTACCTAACAGCATTTTGTCTTGGGGTCACTCGGGAACAGGAAAGAAGGAGTGAAAACAGGACCAGCAGCAACCCCCTCCCCGCTGAAATGCACCAGGCTCTCCCTAACCCCATACAACAGACATGAGGGCATGGGCTCCCAAGCACCCGCCAGTAAGGCATTGTGGCCATAGGTTATTCTTTAACCGGCACAACTCGCTTTTCTCAGACAGACTTTCTCTTTATTTTTTTCGGGGACTATTACCCTGAGGCCTAGTACCTGCTGCCTCTGCTTATGTGACTGAATCTAGAACAAAGAAGAAGCATCTTAGCTGAGGGGTCAGGGCTCTGGCCTAACAGAAGCCCCGTGGTCTTGTCTCCATGTTAGAGCCCCGTGACTCTAAGTGGGTGGGGTCCCGGGCTCGCCCATGACGCATTGTTCAAGTTCGTAGAGAACTCAGAAGTTTCACATGAAAGCACGGCCTCGCAGGCTAGAGACAATTCAGGAAACGAAAACCCCACTCACTTGATTATGGGTTCATTTTCTGATGGAGGCTTTTCTGATCCTCTTTCATAAGACCCATCTGAAATAGACAACTGAAAAGAGAACTAGGGGGCCGTTTCCCTTCCCCCCTCTAGCCCCAGAGCTCGGTCATCAGAGTCACGTGGACCCTAGCCCCTGGAGCTGGACAGGGCCCAGGGTTCATCTGGCCCGTCTGTTTCATTGTGACTTACCTGGCAGGCCCCCTGATACTCAGGGACATAGCTGCCTGCCTGCTGGGCTGACTTTCCTGCGATGCTCTAGAGCAGAGCCAGCTAGCTTCTCCAAGGAGCTGGTGGTAAATACTCGCTCTGGGCCCTGTCACCTATTCTTGTTTTTTCCTTATAAGCCTTTAGAAACATAAAGCCATCCTGAGCTCACAGGCCTCACAGAAACAGGCTGTGAGGATGGGCAAAGTACAGCCCACGAGCAAGACCCAGCGCACTGCCTGTTTTTGTAAAATAGAGTTTTAGTAGACACAGCCCTGCTGATCTCTTGATGAATTGCCTATGGCTGCTTCCATGCCATTACAATTGCGGAATTCAGTATTGAGACAGAGTCTATAAGGCCAATAAAGCCAAAAATAGTTTCTATCTGCCCCTTCATAGGAAACATTAGCCAAGCCCTTCTCTAAAGTAAAGTTTCGTATGCATTCATTCCTATTTAACACTCAAAACAATTTTTGAGATTACTATTAGAGATGAGTATTCCTAATTTTACAGATGAAGAAACTGAGAACCAGAAAGGATGAGGTTTGCTCAAGGTCACACGGCTAATGAGGGGCAGAACCGGAACCCAGACACAGATCTCATCTCTAAACCAGGGCTTCTTCACCTGGAGAAGCTGCTCCCGAAAGGTGGCAATTGTGAAGTGTGGAATATATCTCCTGTTCAGCCCCATCGAGTAGGATACCAGCAGGTCCCTTGATGCCACAGTCTTTGAGAGACACTGGGCATAGAAAGCAACCAAACTGACCTTGAACAGAAACCTTTAAGATTCTCACCAAATCCCACTGTGCGGAGAATGTCTCCAAGCCCAGTGTGCTCTCTGTGCACAGGAAAGATGCCTTTGGCAAGCTGACTGGCTGGCAGGAGAGCTGTCCCCTAAAAGCCAAGTTTGGCTTCTGTTAAACATTTAAAAACAGGTCATCACATCACTGCGAAGAGCCACTGAGCTGCTGCCATCTTCCCACTGAGACGTGGACTGGCCTTCCATCCCCCCAGGTCCCAGGGCTGCCATTTCCTCTACAGCTGGGAACAGCTATGCCATTATTTGTATGAGAGAGACCCCCAGTGGATATTGCTGGTATCACCGCCCCTAAGAGCAGCTCAGCAAACACCTTCAAGGCTCCCAGAGCTGTGGGTGTGAACATTTGAGTAATTGCCCCAGGACGTAAAACCTAATGAGCCTTGTCGTCTTCAAAATCCTTCCCGAGGGAGGTTGGTGCATACATGTTCTAAAAATGCTGACATTTCACCGAACGTATTTGGAATGCTTCCTTTGCACCTGATTTTTTTTTTTTTTTTTTTTTGAGATGGAGTTTTGCTCTTGTTGCCCAGGCTGGAGTGCAGTGGCATGAACTCGGTTCACCACAACCTCCGCCTCCCGGTTTCAAGCGATTCTCCTGCCTCAGCCTCCCAAGTAGCTGGGATTATAGGCATGTACCACCATGCCCAGGTAATTTTGTATTTTTACTAGAGACAGGGTTTCTCCATGTTGTTTAGGCTGGTCTCGAACTCCCAACCTCAGGTGATCTGCCTGCCTCGGCCTCCCAAAGTGCTGGGATTACAGGCGTGAGCCACCGCGCCTGGTCTGTACCCGATTTTATTATGACCTTTCACGTGCTTTTAGAGTCTTTTCTGTGGGGCAGATCTGACTTCCCAGAACAGCTCGGCCTTTGTGAAACTTCGTTTTAGCTGCTTTCAGCCTAGCTTTGCTCCAGAACCTGTTTTGTGTGTTCCATAGTGTTGTTAATTCTGGTGGTTGTTATTGTTTGCAGTTTTTTATTTGAATTGGATAACAAAATTATGCATTAGGATTTCCAGCATTTCTGGAAAAGTCAGAAAGCACTTGTTTTGAGTTCTTGCTCAGTAGCTAACAGCTGAAACTAAAGAGGAGCTCTTTGGACAGGCAAGGATTCTCCAGTTTTCCACAGTCCCCACCACTCCCTATTGCCCCTTATTGGCTGTGCTGGTGTTCGATTGCATTGCCTTGTTGGTCCCTAGAGAAGTTTTAAAGTTATATCATACATACAGAATAATTGCCATGAAAATAGCTGCTGCCACAGGTCCCAGACACTATGCTAAGCACAGTATGTACATGTTCTCATTTAACCTGGTGAGATAGGTATCATTATTCCCAATTTACAGACATAGAAAGTCAGGGTCTGTAAATGTCAGTGTCAGAAAATGTCTTTATAAGGGTTGAACTGAAAATCAGTTTGGACATCTGCACTTTACCATGTCAGATAATAAACTCCTCTAACTGGTTTAGGGGATGTGACTGGCTCAGTAAAGGCCTCAAATAATCACTAGGTTTTCCCCTTTTTCCACCTGCAACATATTCAAGAATGGCTAACCCTGATCTCAGTCATGAAGTAAGCAAAGCGTCTTTGATGTTAAAGACACTGGAATATCCTCCCCTTTCTTCCTCAGGATATCTGTCTTGAACCCCACACCCATGCCAGGTGCCAGGTACTCTGAGATCTTCCCACAGGGCCCAGGGACCCCACTGTGACACAGTGTCTTGGCCTCAACTCTAAGACAGCACCTCACCTTCCAGATTTTTCCCATCCTTTTTTTCTACCAAAACATTCTTTGCCGTGTCCCATACATTCAAGCTCTTGATAAGTGACTACTTAATTTGATAAACGATTTGGGAGATAAGGCATTAACGGACTCATTTATTCTTCTAAAAATTACTTATTGAATGTCTATCCCCTCCTCTTAAAACTATATGAGGGCTACCCATTGCTCCTAAGAGAGTAATGACCAAAATCCTTCATAAGGCCTAAAAGGCTTGTGAGACACTGTGACTGCTGGCCCCTCCAGCCATCCTCTCTGCCCAGCACTCCCCAAGCCTTGTAGTTCCTCAAGCATCCCCTGACTCCATCTACTAAGACTTTACACTAACCCCGTCCTTGGCCTGGAAAGCTCTTTCACCCCTCTTAGCTGGTGACTGCTTTTTTGTCCTTCAGGTTGTTATGAAGTCACAACTTCATCAAAATGCATTCCCTGACCTCACCGACAGGTTCAAGTTGCACCGTGAGACATGCACTGGCACCATGAACCTATCAGATAAAGTGACCTGAGGGCTGCAGTCCTGCATTTATTTATTTGATGAACATACCTCTACCTCATCAGACAGTGAGTTCCATGATGCCATCGTGGAGGGATTTTCTCTGTTTCTACTCACTTTTGCATCCCCAGTGCCTAGATGCCTAATTCGTATTTGTTGAAGGGAAGTGGGGTAGGGTAGAGGAGGAGGGAGGAAGAAATTTCTATTGCTTCCTACAGTTAAAATGGAGAGAATCTAAAGAACTTTCCCAAGGACCCAGAGCTAGTAAGTGACACAACAAGACACTCAACTCAAGTTTCGAAGGCACGTTTTTTTTCTACCCTATCATAATTTTCTTCTAGGGCCTTGGCAGGCCTCTGTGCACTGTGATAATCACACCCTGAAGATTATTATGACTTTGGAGGCATGCCTGGTCTGGCTCCAGACGAGGTGGTGCAGTATAATGGAGCTGCAGCAGTGTCATTTAGCCACATGTAGGGCAGAATGATGCTAGGCATACCCCGACAGATCTCTGGGTGACATAAAGATGACTTCAACTTGGCGCTCTCCAGGTGGATTCCTGGGGGCGCCACACCTAGACTTAGCGGGAGTGTAAGATTTGGGATAATCAGCCTGCTAGAAGAAGAAAAGCGACCATCTATTGTGCCTTTATCATATGCAAAACTTTAAGGACACTATTTGGTTGATTCTGACATAAGACCTTCTAAAGAGATACTATTTTCCCCATTTTACAGATGATGAAGCTGAGGTCTGGAGACTGAGTTGCCCAGAAACACACAACGAGTCAGTAGCCATGGAGGAATTGGCTTTGAAATGAAGATGTGTCTGATTTTGAGCAATTTTTAATTCCAAGATGGAGCGCAGCCTCAAAATAGAACAGACTGCTCAACTACCTCATAGAGAACGTGAGAAATAACCCAAGAAGAAGAAAGAATGAGAGGGAGCTGGAATGAATGATCATGGCTGGAGGTTCAGTAGAAGGTTGCTGGCCGTGGGAGCAAGGCCCAGGACCTAAGGAAGAAGGGCTGGCTGGGGCCATAGGAAGCAGGGGATGCGGCCAGATCAGCACCACAGCTGACTGAGGGGGGTGCCGAAGAAGCTCAGACCCTGGCAGGAAAGGACCTGGCTTTCTTGTTTAGAACACTACACAAAATGCAATGCACTGTCAATTCTTGGGTCATCCCCTCCCTCCGCGTTCTTTTTAGCAAAAGGAGTTATTATTTCTACTTTCTATGAAAACATTCATTTCTTCAAAATCAGATGTCCTAGATCTGGAAGAAAAAAGTGGGTAAAGAGAACCAGCTGTACAGTTCAAAGGAAAATGTAGTGATGCTCTACGTCCTTTGTGTTGTGTCTCTGCCACCTGCTTCTGAGAAAGGGGCAAGAGGGGAGGAAGCATGGGTTCCCCAGGGCAAGAGAGGGGCAGGGGGCAGGGGACAACCCTCAGGAGCAGACTTCTACTGGGTGGTTTTGGCACTCATTCTGGGCTTCAGTTTCCTTGCTCTTAGAGCAGGAGCTGGATCAGACGATCTCTAAGGTATCTTGCAGTTTTGTGCTTCTCCAGCATAAGCCTGGGTGTGGAGCCAGAGTGAGATAAGAAGGACAGTGGTGACCAGGGGTCATCTAAGAGATTGTTTAATGGGGGATAACAGAGTAATTGAATAATAGGAGATTGTGTTTGAAACTTATCTCATCTGCACGAATTTCCACCTTGAGATTTTCTTGCATTGTCAATCAGAAAAAATAACTGTAGTTTTGAATAGATTGTGGGTGTTATAATCGATTGTGGGTGTCTATAAAAGGTATAGATTTTTGGTGTCAGGCCTAGGTTCACTGAGGTAGATAGCTTCCCCTCTCTGAGCACCAGGCACCCATGTGTAGAGTAAGGATAAGAGTACATGGCTCACAGGGCAGCTGTGGAAGGGTCAGATGAGTCTCTATACAGAGAACACAAAGCACAATGCCTGGCCAAATTTCTGCAAATGTCATCTGTCCTCCTCCCCTCAAACCTCTTCTCCTCCTACTGAGGAGGGAAGCACCCAAAGTGGAGAATAGAGTTAAACAAGTTCAAATTCTTCAAGGATATAGTAAATGCTCAAATGTGATCGGTCCAGTTCTTTCATATATAATATTCACGACAATCACATGGACCAGTTATTGCTATTCTGTTGTACCAGTGAAGAAACTGAAGGTCAGGGTTGTCTTCAGCTCATAAATAGAACTGAGATTTGAAACTCAGTCTACTGAATCCAACCCTAAATACTCTTGTCACAGACTCAAAGCTACATATCAGGGGTAGACGTGGTGGCGGAGAATCCACTGGGAGAGCCCCAATGGTTTATGCAATCAGACTTGATCCACCCCCATGTTCTTAGGCAGCCCTGGTGCCAGGACCTTCTCACCCTTCATTCTAGCTGAAATGCAACCAGTATCACTGTCTCCCAGTGCAAGGGGATCTCTCAACTTCCTCCTATGGTTTGTCAAGTCTTTTATATCATGACCACTCCAATTCATCAAAGCATTCACGCTTATTTTGTGCCTCAGTGTTTCGCAATGATTTCACTCACTGTGAGTGGAGACAGCATTATTTTCCTCATGTTGAGGTTGGGAGCAGGCTCAGAGCAGGCTCAGGGAGCTTGCATCACTTGATGGAGGCCCCACAGCAGGGCCCGTGTGGGCAGCCCAGGACCCTGCACTCATGGCGCCTGCCACTGCAGAAGATGCCCTTCACCAGTCACTGGGTCTTAACCCTGTGGCTCCAGCAGGCCTCTCAGTGGGTTTGTGTCACCCAAAGGCTGATGAAGAACAGGGGAGTGGGGTGGCAGTGAGAAAGCACTTAGGAATTCAGTGATAACAAGGCCACCCATTCTCTCTCTCTAAGCAAGTAATAGTGACAGTTCCTTGTGCATAGTCTTCCTTAAACTTGCAGTGACATTTATTCCACCATGATTAGCAGCTGAGGCTGTG